CGTCCTCTATGGCGACCTGAGGCCCTAAGTCCCAGCGCCCGGGATCCGCATCAACAGACGTGTGCCGGCGGGGTGAGGGCGCGCTGGGCAGGCACCGCGGCTTCCGGGGAAGAACGCACTGCAGGGAGCGGCGGTGTCCCAGGGGTTGTGGAGAAAGACTGAAGTGAGGTCCTGGGGGGCGGTCCCAACCTCACCCACCGCGCTCTGTCCTCCCAGGGCCCGGGGCAGGCGGCACCGCTCCGGCCTTCACCCTCCTCCTCTGTGTGCTGGGACGATGGCAGCCACTTGCTAGGGAGATGGGTGAAACGAGCCCCCGGGAGGGCCCTGGTGCAGGGGAGACCCCCTGTGCACGGCTCGGTGATGCTGCTGGGTTCTGCTCTGAGCGTGGACCTTGGCTCTGGGCCCCCTCACAGCCTTTGTCTACTGAAGTGATAATTCTGAGATGGCTGAACAAGGGCCACCAGAAGCTCCAGCCCTGCCGCGGGGCCAGGACCGGTGCCCACGCGCCCCCATCCTCTCACACAGGCTCCAGCAGGAGGCTGTCTGTCCCCTATCCCGGAAGCCCTGTTTACAGGACACTTTAGCAGGGGCTGGACTGGCAAACGGCAGCCCTCGGGCCTGGTCTCGTAAAGTTTTACAAACCATGGGCACTCAGCCATGCCCATCATTTACATTCTGCTCACGGTTGCTTCTGTGGCACAGGGACAGAGCTGAGTCGTTGTCACAGAGAACGTGTGGTCCACAAAGCCTAAAACAGTCACTATCTGGCCCTTTACATCTGCCAAGCTCTGCTCCAGAGAGAAAAATAGGTGTGACACAGAGAGCAGCCCAAGGAAGCAGGTGATTAGAACTGATGCCTCAAGGCCACTGCCCACACCGTCCATCTCTGATCACAGATACCAAAGTTCAAGGAGATGCTACAGACTTGCCCAGTGTCATGCGACCGGCACCGGGACCCACTGTGTAAATTTAAGGCTGTCTGATCCCCGCCCGCCCGCTCGCCCACTGTGTGTGTGAGGGTGTGCACATGTGTGTGCCCACAGACACAACCTGGGCGGCCTCCTTCCAAAGAGGGCTCACAGAAGTTTAAAATTAAGGAAAGGAGACCCTAAGCCTTTCATATAACAGTAAGAAGACAAGACACGGCGAAATCAAGTGTTGGGGGCAGGGGCAACAGAAAGTTGTCACTTGAAGAGCAGGAAGAAGCTATGGTGGGGGGCTTCCCTGGTGGCGCAGTGGTTGAGAGTCCGCCTGCCGATGCAGGGGACACGGGTTCCTGAACCAGCAAAAGTGTACAGTCACTCAGATTTCACAGTTGATAATAGAAC